CATCGCTGCCTACGCCGACGGCCAGAGGCCCGCGCATCTACATTTTTTCGCCTGACCCCATCAGTGCCGACCCAACTACACCACCACGCGCATGCCTCGCGGCGGATATGCGCAGCAGCAAGAAGGTTTCGGTCATCCCTTGAGGGTGAATCTAGCCCTGCTCGCCAGAAAGACCCCCCCCTTCACTACAACCCATGTCTAAGCAAAAGCTTGTCGAGGAGCGAGGGGAAGAAGGGAGAAGTGAGTACTCGGGGGCATTTGTTAAGACAGTTTCCAATCACACATCAAAATTTCAGGTTCTAATTCGTAAGAACCGGCTCGGAAATTGCTTCCAACCATTTTGTTGACTTCTTGGCTGGCCCAGCTGGTAGCAGCCCTTTCTCTGGTGGCCGTACTGCTTCAGGTATCATTCCACCTGCACTTATCTGGTGGCGCTGACTAGACTAGTAGTCTAGACTAGTGGTCATTGTGCTTCTCAACAGTATGCGTGCGTTACCGCCGAGCTAGAAGAACCAACCCGGGTCTCTACATCCATGTTTTCGGGCCTTCGCGCGTACAAAAATCCGTTCCGGTCTCCACTCAGTACCTTCTAATGTCCGTACTGGTCCAACTGACGCGGACGCCTTCCGTAGTCACACCAACTGACCCCAGTGCTGTGCTATATTCTGTGAGTCGTTTTTCCGTATTCTGTGAATATTCTCGACATTAGACTATAAGCTGTAAGCTTTGTTGGCATCCATTTTTTTTCGGTCCTTCGTTGGCCGATTGGGAGTAGGACCTAACCGTGGACACCTCAATTGCCAACAAAACTCCCGGTTGTTGAGCACCGTGGCCACATCGTGATGCTCCGGACCTGGAACCTCCTCTTGTATGGCCTGCGACCGCTCGAACAGTCGCTCGGCCCCAAGGTACTTGCGCTGGTGTTCAGTTGTACTGCATTCCAGGGCAAGTACGCTGAGGCTGAGCCACTGCTGTACGAGCGGTCACAGGCCATACAAGAAATACAAGAGGAGATTCTAGGTGCGGAGCATCCTGATGCGACCACGGTCCAAGAGCGTGCCTGGGAGTTCACAACTTCAGGCTCAAAAAAAGAGACATGGACCAAACGGAAAGGCGCTCAATGAAGAGTCTCATGGTGCACTTGTAGGGTTACCGTCAAAGAAAATAGGAAAAGGAAAACCTAGGGCAACATATGAGGTGCTCACAGTAATGGCGCGCTCAATTCAGGCGATTTTTTATTGTGGACGTTAAAGGGTGGATACAACAGCAACGAAGGTCCGAGGAAGCGATCGGACAAGAGCAGCATTGCGCCGGTTGGTGTCTTGAAGGCAACACTGCTGTTGTTAGGACCTCGCGTTTCAGTCGTTCTCGTAGGGGGGGGTGTACTCATAGTCGTGCGTGCCGTGTCGTTAGACCATTGACCTCGCATCCCTACAAAGCCGGGACGGACCACGCCGAACGTAGGTGGCGTATAGAATGCAAACCCACCAACTTTTGGGTTTGGTCGGGTCCCGGCTGTTCTACCCCGACGATAGTGACCACCGGTGTTGTGCCTGAAGGATGGTGCTTCCGCTTGGCCGGTCTCCGAATAGCTGCTGCCATCTACGGATTTGAGGTTACTGATCTATAGCGTCAAAGCCGAAACGTTGCTCGCGACGTTCACACTGCACACTATCCGCTCCACACCGTTGACAAACCCCACATTCATGTAGCCACCCCTGCTTCGCGTATTTCTTGAAGAAATCTAATACGCCAGCTACACCCAATGCGTATCCCACTAAATGTTTTATCATAAAACTCGTAGCACGCATATTCCGGAAGGAAGACGAAACGCAACGCGACGCCACCCTCAACCCGCTTCAGCGCCCCGATCATATCAGCTATTGCGGGCTCCCATCCCAAACTGCAGCATGTGGCGTGCTCCGGTGGCCACTACTCAAAGCGAATGGACCCTCTCGAACAGACATGTCCCCTCGATGGAAACGTGACAAGAGTCATGGTCCGTTCCTGATGATGTTCTTCCTGCGCCGCCGCCGCCTCCGCCCGACGTGCGAGCAAGGTCGTTTTCCGTGATTCGCCTGGCCAAAATATAAGCCCGGATGTATGGAGAGACGAGCGTTGGTCAGACGCGGTGCTTCCACGGCACCAGTGCCTACATCTCGCACATCAACTGAGGCCGTTGGTTTAGTCAGCACCGGGCTTCAATACACTACATAGATATGAGTAAGCTACACACATGGATGCGTAGGACACGAAGTGGATATGATAATGTCACGGGCACGGGCAAAGACACAACGAACGAATGGTTCCGAAATTGATAATGCGGCACGAGAACGGTGCCAACCGCATGCTCACCAGCTTCCAGGTTGTGGGGCTTGTTATGCGGGCGCAACGTTGGGTGTATCACGGAACCTTCTGATTCACTCGGAACGTTGTCAACCCAAACTACTGCTGTAGCGGGCTATCGCGAATAGTTGGTTATGGTGCAGCGACCACAAGACTGAAGGGAAATCGGAGGTACGCACGCGTGTAGTTTGGAGAAGGACCCCCTCTCACGTTTGTATGCGGAAGGAGAAACAGGAAGCTGGACAGGGTGGCGGGGTTGAGAAGAAAGTAACAAATAATAGGATACGACCTTGCCCACATCATACTAGCCTTTTCCCATACTTGTGCGATACATGACCCCCCGCAACTCCAATCCACCCGTTGTCCTCCTAGTGGTTAGCATGATCTTCCTACGGGCGGCTTGACTACGTTCCTTTGCTGTTCGAACGCTGTGCTTCGTGTCCGGCATTGACTGTGTCTCCTCTGGTCCCCAACATCGACTTGCCGTAGTTTCAGACCCCCCGTAGTTCAACTATGCATACTATTCGCTCAAACTTTTCTTGTTTTCGTTTTAGTCTCAGCATAAGGTCTTCTCGAGGCCATTCTTCATCGATGGGGTAGGCGACCAATCGATTTAGGTCAGCCTCTGCTAAGGCCTGTACTAACGGTACGGGTGCAACCAGCCGCATAGCGAAGTTCGGGAAGGAGGGCTTTCCTGGTACAATAGTAGAGGCCCCTGTTGAATGCCGGTTGAATAGTGCCGGTGTTTTCGGCGGGCACAAATCGAACCAAGTCATTCTCAATACTTTGAATGGTGCCTGTCCGATATAGTACCGGTGATTTTTCTGGGCACATATCGGCACTAAACAGGGACCTCTACCGTAATTGTAAAAAATGTAAAATGCTTTTCGACAAGGTTGGTGTGGAGTTGGTGGCATCGCTGTGAGAGCGACCTCCTTGGTCAGAGAGGTGCCCAAAAAAAAGTTTTTAGAGCCAGCCAAGGGTGCGGCTTCGATCCCAATTAGCATACGCTAAAGCTTACACATCATGAGCTGGTGGGTCACAGCTTCCGTGTGGCACTCATGGACCGTAGCAATATCTTTTCGGCGTCCGCGTCACCCCCCGTCCCGCCTCACTCGGATATTGGCTTGACTCTCGACTTCGATCTATGTAGGTGTATTGCAAGACATCGTTCAAAATGACATATTAATTTTCCACAGGGACCCAGCTTGTGTTCTGCCCTGGCCTCCCTTTTGGGTGACACTTAAAACGTGTGGTACGTGCGCAACAGGCCCTCAAGATGACTTCCCGTCGCTTCGCATTAGACTATACAGCTGCGGTACGTACCATTCTTGTGCCTCGCACTGCACGAGCCGCTCGTTCGTGCATGTATTCTATGGTCTAATACCTGAAAAGTGTGATTCCAACAAGCTCGCTGGTATATGTATGATACAAGGAGACAAAAAACCAAGCGAATGTTCGATTGCGCTACGTCGGGACCTGGCGCTACTTGGGGTAGTGATACTGAGGCTCAGCAACAGAGGAACCGATTTCAACATGTTTTCGTGCCACTACTACGTACATGTATAGTAGCACGAACACGATGCATGCGCACAAGCCTATCCCACTCCAAGCGCACATGGGCGTGAAACGGTGTCCACAGCAATCACTGTCTGGCACGTACAGTAGGCTCTGCCTGCGGATCTACAGCAGTTTACATGATGCTTGGGGGTAAATACGTAAATACATGAGTTTGCAACACCAGTAGTCCACACCTGGTAGTCTAAGCTGGAAGAATTGAGAGTTAGAGTTGAGGGATACGAACTCCCGTTTATCACCACTCACTTTCTTCGGTCGGCGTGCATTTCTGTTGACTGCTTCCATCGCCGGTACAACAGGCAGAAAATCCCCTTGGGCAGCTGCATTTAACATAATCCCATCAACTCTGCACCCATCAAGCTGTCGCACCAGGCTCGCCAGCAGGTCAGGTTGCGGACAAGCAGGTGCTACTGGCACTTGCTGGTATACTCCGCCTACGTTGTTTCTAGAGAGAGCCACCATCGATCTTGCTGCCCTTACCGCGGGTACCGCCCGAAGGCACCGTGCTACTGCTGCAGCCGACATGGTCAGGTGCTGAACGCTGGCCTGTGTGGTTGCTGTGTCTGATGGACATGTGGCACCATACTGGCCTACTGGAGCTTCGCGGCAATAGGCAGGGGAGGGGTGTTTCGCGAACAATCACCGTAACCCCCCCGCTGAAGTTGGTCGGTGCAACTGGTCGGTCCCTCACTGCACACTGCAGCAGTCACATTGCAGGCAGTGAGTCGTCTTCGCTGTGCCTCTTTGTCCTTTGGAGAGACATACATACACAAACCCACACACAGCTTCGGCAGCTTCACAGGTGTGTGTTTGGCAGTTGTTTCAGTCGCTTGAAAGCAAGGTAGCCCTTGGTAGTTCATACGGTTGAGCGAGGAATGAGTGCCGCTGCAAGTGGACTGCCGCTCCCAGTAACATTGCGTCGAATGTATGTGCCATAGCAGATTATGAAGCTGCCGGTATAGCATCCGACAAACCAGTGAGGCGTATGGAGTTTCCATTGGTGTTAGCGTGAGAAGGCAAACCATGTAAAAGTCTGGTTTCGCTGTATCCACGGCTTTTGAGGTGAAGGTCCGGCCTCGCATGACTCCACATGTCGTCTTGTGGGAGGCCGCCACATTCAATTTCAACGACTCCTCTACTCTGGGCGTTGATTCGCTTGGATGACGCCCTATTGCTGCCGTGAGTATCGTAGCGTTGCCAAACGCCCCCTCAACACAATCTACACCTTGCAGTAGTGCTGCAACTTCCGCTGCTGTCTTGTGTCTTGACCGTACCTACCGAGATCATGAACAAATAATAATCTATGCGCATGCGCCCGACGATTTTGAAATTATCAAATTGTGGTCGCATACGCTCCTACAGAAATAGTGCACAGAGTAGTTGGAACTACAGCTCCAAGATGATCCTCTAGAGAGGCAAAGTACCACTGCTGTATGCATACAAGACACCCTCCCTAACTGTAGGTCTTATGAGTATATCCTTTATTTTTTTTTGACTTCACTTGAATTCAGCGCGCACCGCATTTGACACATTGCAAACTCGAGCTTCCTGGTCTTTGGGGTCCAGGGTCCAAATCACCAGGAATTCCTGAAGATCGAGTTTGCAATGTCACACACGGGTCTATTCGCAAAATCATGAGGTGGATCTTCCTTCCCGATGAAATCATCAGAGGGCCCTTTTGGCCCATTTGGTAATTTCATCAGGAATGATCTTCACGACTGCTGTGCCCGCTCTCGCCGCTCTCTCAACTGGAGCACCAACGGCCGACACACATCCGCCCTCTGCTACACATACATGTACATCATATCAGTACCAGCAGTACCGCCAGATGATCGGCACCTGTAAGCGTTTCCGTCGGCGTAAATGAACAATGGTGGTGGTGGACACACACATACATCTACATACACGGGCCAATCAGGCAGCGCGGTGTGGAAAGGGATAACAGCACAGCGGCAAACAGCGCCCAACCGTGTTGCATGGGCAACCGTATTGATTTCATGACATCGTCGCAGGTCTCATATGCATTTGTTCCGCTTACTCCCCTCGTCCACCGCGCTATCTATTCTGGTCCTGCGAAAGACACCATACATATCATTCGGAACCTGCGAAGGCTATTGGGGATGCTCCGCTCTTGTTAATGGTTGGTACTGCGCTGCTGCTGCTGTGAAGCAAGGCTCGTCTCTTCATCTCAGTAGACAAGAGTGTATCATCTTTGTTTGCTCGTTTTCCTTTCGTTTTACGCATAATTTTCGATATGTTCAAACATCATCATCATCGTGTGAGAGCGCGCAGCCAGGTCTGTTAACTACACTGCTGTTGCTATGCTTTTACATCCGCGGGGGGTTGTGCCATGACGAGTGTGTTTCTACACGTTTCTATGCACTGATGTGCGAGACTATGCTGCGTTTCCAACAGCAAGACTGGCATCATGTACATCACACCACAATTACACCACATTTATTTGCGACAGATTTTCCAACGGCACGAAGAAGAGCACAATTTGCGACGACTCTCAGGCATTGCTGTTGTGTATGTGGCCAGAGATAGCTATTGCTGGTGTGCTTTCACATACAGGGGGGAATCGGCCATGGCGGGTGAGTTTTCTACGGTTGTGTGTGTGCATAATGTAACAGCAGATGAGCAGTGCGCAGCTTGTTATCTTCTGAAATTCCAAGCCGCGCGGCCGGACACGTCATTTTTTCTGGTGATGGGACGCACAAACACCAGGACCGGAGTTTGCGATCCATTCGGAAATTTGCCTCTATCCCGATGAAATCATCAGGACCCTTAAACAGGCAAATACCATCAGGAAACCAGAAAGCTCGAGTTTGCAATGTGTCAATTAGTGCCGTTTACTCCAACTCGTGGTCACACAGAAGGGCAACTCTCTGCCCTCCCATCCTGCGGTACGTTGCCTTCGATTTTTAATCCGAGAAGAGTTCAGTACTCTCTTTCTTGTGTGCACACACGAACTAGCGCTATCCACTCGGTCACAAGTGGAAGCGAGAGAAAAACTCACTTTGCAAGAAAAGCTCGCTCACGCCGGGATTCGAACCCCTGACCTGACCTCAAGGAGGTATCGAGGATACCAACTAGACCATCGGGGCGACCTAATGGAACTGGCAAAAGGTTGGTTGCCAGTGGTATATCATAGTAACGATTAGGAGGGGGGTGTACTCATAGTCGTGCATGCCGTAGTCGTTACACCATTGACCTCGCATCCCTACATAGCCGGGACGGAGCACGCCGAGTTCTCAGCGGACCAGGCTCTCACATCACCAAGGCGCGAAGCGCCGTGAGATATTCGGCAAGTCGCATGAAGGGTGCGCTGCATCCTGCTAAGGGTGTTCGGCACCTTGTGCTTACATCCTTGCGTACGGATGACAACTGCGTATGACTTAATTTATTTTCTGGTGCTTTCACTTCATGAGACAGTTGTAAGCACTGTGTAACTGCCTCGAGGGTGCTTGACCATTTTAACACAACGTAGTGCCATCATCCCCTTTGCGCGGAGTGAGGGTTCTCGACCCCGCACAACATGATCTACTCGACCACCATTATGGTTGCCGCCAAAAAAAAAAAAGACACAACGTCGTTGCGATTAGGAGGGGAGGAACAAATGATAGCGGCAGGCAGAGATCACGACCACAGGCTTTTATTTTTGGCGATACAACCTAAGCACCCCCCACCAGACCACACCTATAGGGCTGTCTCCGGTTAAGGCACTCGAAGTTTCCACTCTCGCTGCTGCTGGCGGTGCTAGGCGCTGAACACGTGGTTCTCGCTGGGAAGTTGAGGTCGCTACTCGTGGGTGCAAGCAGGGCGAGTGTGTTCGCTCAGCAGCATCAGGGTTGTCTCATGAGTAACAGACTAAAAAACACAGCAGTGACACAACATCGTTGTTGGGGTAGAACCGATGTACATCAGGCAGGTGTAGAAATGTTGGGCTTGCTTCACACAAAGTACTGCAACACGTGTTCTTGACAACACCGCCACTGCTGTGCTTTTTCTCCTCGCACCTCTCCTGCCGATCAACTGACAGTTACAACGACCAACATGGTGGGCGTGCCTGCAACGTTGGCGTTCCTGTGCCTGTTCGCACATTCCTCAACATCCGCCGCCGCTTCTACCCGTCACGGAGGAGCTCCTTCAAGAGCTTTCCTCGCCCACGGCAGGCGGTCTTCGGCCCTGCCTAGCTCTCACGCTCGGTCATATAACCCTGGCCCAACAACGCAGGTAGGTTTGCATTTTCTCTTGGCGAGGGCAGCCTTTTTCCTACAATATGCTGATTGTCTTTTGTCCAAGGTTGTTCTGTTGCGGTGCGTGTTGCCATGGGATATGTCAGGTGCCATGCATGTCGGGAGATGACTTACTCGCGGTCTTATTTTAGGGCTCCTGTCCTTGACAGGTTCGCCCGTTGGAGATAGCCGTTTTGCAAGGGCTGCAGCACGACGTTGGAGACACACACTGCTTGACAATGTTGTCCAGAATAATGCCGCTAGCTCCATATAAATTGTTGTTGAAGAATCTCCCATGCAACTCCCAGTGCCCTTGCGTAACTCCATTCCCAAGCACACTTTTTCTGATCTTGTTCACATTTGTTGTGTGCCGACTTCCAGGAGGGAAACTCCCATATCCCGTTTGGTACTTTGCTTCACCCCTAAACTTTGACCACGACGAAACAGACTCTCATATTTGGGGGAAATTGGCTCATGTACGACACAAGCGGACGATGAATCGGCTTCTTGTGTCGAGGGACATGGACACGTAGTTTGCTCAACGGTTGGACACATCATGACTACCACCCCCCTCCTTTTGTCCTCCTTCACATCAGGGAGAGTCTGGTCATGGCGAGGACGCATTAGAAAGGTTTGCTTTGGTTGTGAGAGGAGGAAGCGACGAGGATCCATCCCTCACTACGCTCTTTATGCGAGTCCTAATGCCAGGCTTTAGACGAGACAAGGGCGGGGACGGGGAGTTGGACTTGGAAGGAGGTGGGCTGATGCGAAGGCTGAAGCGGTTGATGTCCGGGGTGTTTCGGAAAGTGCGAGGGTCGTCGGTCGCGAGCACTGAACCCAAAGGTGAGGAGAGTACTGCGATGACACGTTGTACGGAATTTTTGCCGCTCGGGACAACTAGGTACGGGCAGCCTCCCGCGGGCGTTGGTATCGCACCTGTGTACAACCACTGCGCTTGTATTCCCTTTGGATGCATGAATCAAAGGTGTCTACGGCTTGGTGGAGAAAAATACGTACGGGGCGACTTGCTGGAGTATGTAGCCTATATTTTTGGCTTGATCTATCCGCGTAGCTGACGCATCAGAGCAAGCGACTTGCGTTTGTAGTCGGCGCGGGTAGGGTGTTGTTCGCAGCGTAGGTACGCAAGAGGGTTGTAGGTTTTAGGAGTTTGGTCGACCGTGCACCCAACTAATTGCAGGTGGTGCTGCCCAACTCTCTCCTGCTATCTACAAACTCGGCTTGATTCCTGAGCCCTCAATTTGATCTCTATCACGTCTCTGCATAGCTATTTAACTCGCCCGACCTGCCTGGCGCGCGGATGCGCGTCGGAATTCT